TCTGGTTATGAATGTTTATTTATACAAGCACAAAATGAATGGAGTGCAGGGATCCACATGTACCCATTTATACATATATTTACACTCCTCACAAGGTCACATCATTCACACCAAATGTGTATTAAGCCCAATCACAATCAAATCTCCCATCAATCCACAGGATATATTTTGCTTGAAAAAATATTATACAATCAATCCTTCAACATTCTGACTAATGATCTGTAATATTTATAGCACAGTTAAAGACAGGTCTCACAATCTGAATAACCACCTCAAGGTATTTTCTACAAAGATTCTTCCTCCTTGCCCTGCAGTCGCAAGGCTCGAGGAGTCCCAGGATCTCTTCTAGAGTAATAGGGAATGGGTCATCATTTCAGTTTTCAGGAGTCAAATATCTTTACAAAATCAAAGAAATCACAATGAACCTGAAAAGCCTAATCAATTTTACAAATTGATATATCTATACAGGATACCTAAGTCTTAAAACAAAATACTGGCTGCAAGGAAGAAAAAAAACCTCATCCAACATATTTCGTGAAAAAAAGAAAAAACAATCAACTATTCTGAAAGTCCACTATCACAAACGCCTTACATGAAGGTTATGCTCAACATACTATTCTTTATTCCATCAGACCCAAAAGGTGAGAAATGGTTACCTTGCTGGAGAACCATTCACGCACACTTCTGAAACTCGCCACCAAAACACATCATCGGTATCTTATATACACGTGTGACTGTACTGTATCAGCAAACTTCACATATCCATACATGTCAACAAAAATGGATCTGGATATCAAGAAGTCTAAAATTTTAAGGAAATGAACACTTAAAAAAAGGAAGAGGGGTGCTAAAAAAAAATAACAAAAATTCTAAATAAAAAAGTGAAGGTGAAACTCAACATATCATAATTTGCATTGCAAACAAATACATATTTCTTGTCCGGCTGAAAACTGTATGAACAGATGTTTCCTTCTGCCACTTGTGTCGTCAGCAGTTACAAACAATAATAAAATGTTAACAAAGAAAAAAATGAAAGAAAACTTTTGTGTCTTCATATAACGATCAGGTACCTCATCGAGGGTATATAAGCTGTGTGGCATTCATTGCCTCAGGGAAGAGGGAGTGATAGCTCATGACAGGTACATAGGCCGCTGTAATCATCTTGCCTGAAAAGAAAAAACAGCAGTTAATAACATGTTAATATATAGAATATACACTGGATTAATGTATCAGAGACATTAGATATCTAATTCTGGAATAATGCATATACAGAGAAAGACATTATCTTTTTAATATCTATACATCAACATCTTATCAACAAAATGATCTGAACTGAAAATTTTATCTACTAATTATGAAAAGAGTGATGGTTAGCTTACATAAAAGAACTGTAAATATTACCAACAGCAAAAACATGAAAGCAGTTTTCTTACCTGCAAACCATCTTCCATGGAGTGCATTAACAGATGCTGCAGCTGTTGCAATTGTGGGGCACTTGACATACACATTCCCCTGTGCTGACTGTCTGTCCACAAACACATGTAAAACCCCTCCATGCTTATTGCACTCTTCTAAAACATCATCTCTGATTTCATCTGCCCAGTTGGGGTTTGTTTCTCTGAAAAATATTCATCACAATGAGGGAAGAGGTAGAGGAAGCAAAAATACAGGGAGAGATATCATTCCTGTTAATTTTGCCATATACTCAATGTGTTGCATTACTTCCTTTGTAAGTTACTAAAATTACAGCAAAGAAAATTTCTGAGCAGAATAGATACACAGGAGTACTAATTTCATATACACAAAAGATGACAAAATCCTTGAATACTTACGTGGATGGATCAAACATATTTGACAAGAGGAAGCACTGTGTTGCAATAGGTGGTGCTGGCTGCTGCTGTGGTTGTGCTGGCATGTGTAAGGCATTAGCAGCAGCAGCTGGCAGTTGCAAGCCTGTACCTTCAGCCAACTTCGCCATTAGCTGCAAGCGGCCTGTTGCACCTGCAATGTGAAGCAAAGGAAAATATATAACATATCTACTAAGTGGTGCAAAAGAATAATTTCCATTCTATGCTGTAAGTTTAATATCTTTCCTTAATTTCTCCAAAGTGAAATTCTTAATCCTTATTACAACTTAGTACAAACAACTCAATTCTTGATTTGTTTTTAACCCTTTACTGAGGAGTCACATGTTCAGCTATCATAACAAACTATGTGGTTTGTGGGGTACAGCTATATGCTCAGCGACACGCTAGAGCGTGAGGAGCAGGAAGTACCACTACGAGTAGTGGACTCCCCCACCAAGCAGCTGGACATTGCCAGAAATCACCAGAGTTTGTGACGCTGAGAAATTTCTGGTACCCATCAGTGTTGGGTTAAAAAGTCTAGTATTCCACAAAACATACCTAAATCAATACCAGCCCTCTCCATCTCATCCGAATCTAGGAGTGAAGTCCCTTGCTGCGTCTCAGACCTTTCAGTCACGTGATTGACTTTCATGGGTCGGCCTGCTAGCTCAAATCCATTCAGTTGCTCTAAGGCTTTCTTGGCATCATCAGAATTGTGGAACTAGGGGGGGGAGAAAGAGAGAGACAATCAAAATGAATCTGTAACAGGCTCATGTTTCTATAATATATCATTAGGTGGTAGTAATGGTGGCACTTTAGAGTTGACCAAAACTTTATTTTTAAATCACATAATATTGACATATTACTACCATATTTGTTCTAAATTTTTAAACAAATCAACATATACAATTTAAGCCATTCAACTCCTACAAACTTAATATAATCAATGACACAAGTACATAATCTGGTACTCACTGTGATAAAGCCATAGCCTTTTGATCTTCCAGTCTCGGAGTCCATTATCAACTGGATGTGATCAATTTTCCCAAATGGTTCAAAAATACCCCTAAGCATGTCCTCTGTGATGTTGAAGTGCAGTGAGCCAACGTAAAGTCTCATGGGACCTGTTGCTGCCTTCTGGTCTTGCACTGCCGCTGTGTTGGCAGCACGGTTCTTCTCTGCCTGTGTTGGCTGACATACTATTGGGACGCCTAAGATCTTCTGACCTGACAAACCAAGAGCCTGTGCAAAGAGGAATTAACATTTTAATGATCATATAAATGCCACAAAACAGTCACTCCATTGAGACAGTAAACATGGATACCTTATGTTCATATGTGTACTAACAAAGACCTCAAAAAGCCCTGGAGATTCTTCAAATAAATTTTCTAAACAGGAAAAAAATACTGTGAAAATAATGAAAGCTAGGAACACAAATTAATTCAAGTACATTGTAAGAGAAACAAGTCACATCATCGGAAGTCTTGACACTGGGGTAATCTGTCATGGATAAAAGAAGAAAACTTGACACTATGTAAATGGGATAACTCATAAATCCAAATGGGAAAATTCTATGCAAATTTACACTACTACTATAAATTCCTCCTGGCAGTACACTACTATTACAAATTCCTCCTGGCAGTAACTTTCAAGAGAGGGCTTAAGACTAAAGCCATAAGGACACTCATATTCTGCAGTATTATGGGAACAAATCAATGCATTCACGCATGAACCGACTATAATGAAGATTTTTGTAAACTTACCAGAGGGACCGATTCTACATCCACAAACTCAACATAAGCAATACCCTTTGATCTACGGGTTTTTGCATCTGTTATGATGCGAACATCATTCACTTTGCCCACAACGGAGAAGAAGTCCTCTAAGTCCCGCGACCGAATCCTCGAGGAAAGCTGCATGCAGAACACGGTACGTGCATCTCTCTCCTCAACAGAAAGCTCCCTGTGAAAAGGCAAGATTTAGTTATGAAAGACAAAGATAACTACATAAGCACCATCCTCCTCAATAGAAAGGTTCTTGAGAACATTACAACTTCACTTGGTGATTGAAAATGTTTGGTATTCCTGTTGTATTTAACTTACTATCACTGTAGTATAAAATATGCGGCAAACCTAGATCCATGAAATACCAGACATGTCAACCTGCAAAAACAGTTACTACCAAGTAAGAACTATAAATTCAAGAGAGACCATGAGTTTGCTGGTCCTCAATGAATGGCATTCTCACTTACAGTTTTGGCGTTTTACTCCTGGAGCGCGAACGTCTACGCTCTCTACTGCGGCTCCTCCTCCTGTCTCTGCTGCGGCTTCTCCTCCGGCGCTCTCGGCTACGACTCCTGCTGCGGCGACGGTCCCTACTGCGACTCCTACTGCGGCGCCTGTCTCTGCTGCGACTTTTGCTACGGCGGCGAGAGCGCGATCTCCGTTTTCGATCTTTTGATCTTGATCGAGACCTCTTCCTTCGGTCCTTGTCCCGAGACCGGGAACGAGACTTCTTTCTATCTCTGTCTTTGGATTTGCTGCGCGTTTTCTTCCTCCTGTCGCGAGACTTGCTCCTAGAGCGTCTTTTTCTGTCTCTATCTTTATCCTTGTCTTTCTCTTTTTCCTTATCTTTATCCTTATCCTTATCCTTGTCCTTATCCTTGTCTTTGTCTTTGTCCCTCTCCTTGTCTCTGTCCCTGTCTCTGTCTCGGTCCCTGTCACGGTCTCTGTCCCGGTCTTTGCCTTTGTCCTTGTCTCGGTCTCTTCTATCCTTCTCCTTATCTTTATCTTTCTCTCTGTCCTTCTCTCTCTCCTTTCTGAAAACAGGAATAAACGAACGGTATAAATACCATCTGACAAACCACACGTCAGCATCAACAACATTTCACTCTCAAATTGAAATAACTTTAAATTAATTTCCTTAACTTCTACCTGTAACCAAGGAAACAGTATTTGTCTATATCAAAGTAACTTTCTCAGCCTGGAATTTTTTTTTTACTCTCAATAACCTGACCTTGTAGTCCCAAAAGAAAGAGAGGAAGGAAATAGCCATTATACACAAGTCCTCCATGCACACATCACTTACTTGTCTTTAGAGGATGTGTGACCATTTTCCTTGGGTTTGGAGTCCGCCGACGAACTGCCTCCGTCCTAGGGGAGCACAAGAGACGGTGTAACGGCAGCACCAGCCAGGGTTGGTGGTGGGAGAAGGGCAAGGATGGGGGGGAGAAGAGAACAGAACAGCCACGCATTAGTTCTCAACATTACATACTAAACCTAACATTACATTCTCCCACCAAGTATCAAAACTTGGCTATGAAAAATGGATTAACATCTCTTGAGGTGGATTTAATATGCATGATGACCTTGTAGAAAGCTCTGGATGATGGTCATGTCATGAAAATTTTACAGTCACACTTCACTTGCCTCTCACACCTGTCTGGACTATAAGGTATTCCATACGGCCAGCAACACACAGCACTACCACTCTGCGAAACTGCAGAGTGGGTAATCACTACAGCCTCACACAAACACAAAACAGCAGTCCAGTCACACATACGAATCCAAGAGCAGTTAACCTGTCGGGCTCTCTATCAACAGACCACTGGGGGGTACAAATAATCAAGCACACCCTAGACACCTTTAGTGCACCTTTAGCCCCGTGCACCAAAATCTATATAATGTCGTGGCCTCCATCCCGCTAGTACCTGTTGTCTCTCTCTAGCCGTAGGGTCCAACCAAGGCACGGCCGCCTGCAAAACGCAAACTTTAGACTGGAGCCTTGACGCCACGTGAAGATATATTGCATCAATATTCGACACATGCACCAGTCACAGCACAGAGGAAAAATAAATAAAAAATAAAATAAAATAAAAATAAACGGGGGGAAAAAAAGATATATATAAGATCAGACTGACCACAGCAGAACTCAACATTTTCTTCAAGATTATACCTGTTTTGACTGACTGTCCTCATGACACAAAAACAACTAATATTGTGGTCAATTAAAGGTCGTGGATGTTGAGTGGAGAGAGTAACGAGCGAGATCCCTCGATGATGTGAGCTTGCCGTCGCCAGCATCTGAGTGAAGATACCAAGTTGTCAGTACCAGGCCAGCACGGACACACCACAGCTTCACCAATAACCACTTTTCTTCACTTTTTGGTACCCTTGTTTTAGTAGAGCAGTGTTCACTAAAATTCTTCATTTTTGGGCTTGGATACTCCACAAATTCACAAGTTATTTCTTTAACTTCTATTTAATTTTTTTTTTTTTTTTTTTTTTATCAAAAAGCTTCTCCCAAAGAAAATATCACCACAATCATTAAAGATAACACAGCAAGCTTATGAAAACTTGTAGCAGGCTTCTACATCCTCGAAACTTGTGCATAGATACAACCACAATTACAAAGTAGCCAGACTGATCATAATACTTGCCAAGTTGTCTTTATATATATGTATATTTTTTTTTAACTAGATATTTGATGCCCTAGTTATGCAATATATTTATGACATAAAAAACAAAAATAATATCCAAAGCTAAAAATAGTTCCAGTGGTAAATATACCCTAATGATATATGGTCATTGAAAGAGTTTGCTGGTAACTACCTCTAAAGCTCATCTAGGTATGAAACATGTTTTTTTTTTTTTTATTCCTCATCATATAATGATACACACAGTTAATATATAAATAGATCTGTAATAATCTTAGGCTCATCAGAACAAGTATGTGCTACAAACTACTCTTTAGCAAGACCAAAAGATATAATGAAAAGCTTTATTGAGAAAACTAGCATTGACTTACAGAGGTATAACTTATGACTACCAGTACCTGGCGGTGTAGGGAGCACGGGAGCTCACGACCGTTTTATCATGGAGGGTTGGGAGACAGTGACTGAATAGGTTATCTAAAACAACAGAGAACGGGAAGAGAAGATCAGCGAGGCACACGAGAGCTTCTTACTCGCCAGCTTGCAACCTTGTCAACGCGAACAATTTGTGTAGCACAGCTTCTCTCTCGCCAAAACGAATAGAGCACTTTTTCTCTTGAACAAGGAGAGAAAGCTACGTACTTAGGCTGAATGAATGTTCATGGACTTGTGATTTTTCTAGTCTTTTTTTTTTTTTTTTTTTTTTTTTTTTTTTATTAAGCAAAGGAGGAAATAAAAAAAAATTTAGTGCCAAAGAATGATGATGTGGCCAACAAGGCTGCAAGATCATTTATATATACACACCAACACAAATACACACACGCACACAAACACTCCTGCAGCTTCCATTTAAGCTACTGAACATACAGCACTCACTCACATAATTCTATGTTTATGTAAAATATAATATATATGGGCCTAAAAGTCACATACAAATCACATCGAAGTCATTATGTAGAATGACTGATCGTACACTTGTTCTGCAAAAAACAAGCATTGGATATAATCTTGTAGTTCAATCATCATCTGATATTTCATTTTTCCAGTTACTTTTTTTTTATAGTTACTTCAAGAGTAGACTGACAAGTTCACATATTTCATTACAAGCACAGGAGAAATAATAAAATGATAAGAAATAACAATAATTATTAATAAAATCATAAATAAACAAAACGTTACCTGAAAAGTAATAATAAAGAGAAAGAAAAAGATGCAATTAATACAAATACCACTTACCTCCTTTTTAAAAGGAGCTTCCAACATCGCATCCACGTCCAGGTCGTCTGTCATTTCCGATTCTAAGGAAAGAGAAATAATTTGTTAGTGACTCACCATTTTCAATAGCAATGACAAATAAGTTTTATGCATATCATCAAAAAGCAAGACGAGCTACAATTATTACTCCGTTAATATTTAGTTTCATCTCATGCAAACTATATACAAGACCAAATGGTAAATTTCTTAAAAATATCTGATCTTACTTCCTCTTACAATTACATTTTCTACGGGGCTCTTCATAATCTCAAGCTACTTGAGTGGAGAACGAAAGCACGGAAAAATCCCCAAATCATACCTGGCATTCAAATACAGCTGTTAGAACTTTCAACCCATGGAGCACACTCAGACAAGTAATAATATTACAGGCTGGCATGTAAATATGATATGACATTACACAGTGGTTTCTGTTTTGTGTGGTTCAGGTATCGTGTCTCATATGGAGTATTTATAAATCTTATACCCTGAGCACGAGATGAACTGAGTATTATTATAAGTAGTATTGTGTAGATGCACAACTCATTACAGTTGTACAACTTTCTTGGCATCAACTTGTGAAGGAAATGATATATAAAAAAGTACCTTATTTTTTGTCATTCTCTTATGTCCTTCTATTAGAGAGAATGTTTATCTTGTACCATATGGCTGTATGAAACAAACTATTGAATAGTCACAGATGCACAAGTGTTACATTTACCAAACGAGATCTTATTTGTAACAATAAAACAGTTACTACATTTAAATAGAAAATAATTATAATAATAATTCACACAACATCTTCCACAAGCCATGGCCGACCTGTGTTCATAAGAAAGGCAAGTTGATGCTGGCAGGTCAGTAAAACTAACACACTCCCCCGAAAACATATTCTCTGGTGAACATTTAAAACAAACCTATGCTCTCATGGCTAAGTACAGAGAAGCTGTGGCCTCCTCTCTATGACAAATGGAAACAATATATTTTTTTAACTGGATAGACACACTCACCAGTGAATGAATAAATTTTGTGAGGTGGAATTGCAGACTTTCAGGGGGTCTGTTAGAATTGTGTTTAAACAGAAATAAATGCATATCTATCAGGCTAGACATGTGCATCTACCGTACAAATAGACAGATAAAAATGCATTTATTTCTTTAGATATATGTCTAAATACATGAATATTCACTGTGTCAGGTCTCGTACAATTTTAACAAACTGACCATATGACCCCACCTCCACATCAAAATCTATTCAGGAATCTAAGTTACTGTGACTGGGTAGATTGACTGATTTGCAGAAATCACACCTGGCGCTGCAACAGCAGGTCATATGGTGCTAGACAACAAATCAGAAGTGTAAATCAAAAATAAAAACAGAAACCAAAAAAATTATAATAGAAGATATTATTGAAATTTAGTTAAAATGATGTGACTCCTATTTTAGTAAGAAGACCAGCTTCCCTCAAAGACTAGAACCTCGTGTCCAGAGGCATCTTTCTCCCAGGATTCATGAAAGGTGGAAGGTACCACCCTGCTTCCGGCACTTGGACAGGTACCTTCCTTGTAAATCCCCAAGACTGGCAAGATGGAGCCGAAACGAAGGACCAACGCCTCTCCCATTATTTTACCTTCACGTCTTTAAACTTTTTGTTGTACGAAGGACAAACCCGGTCTTTTAAAAGAGCACCATCTCCAGTTTGCCCCATCGTGGTGCATCCACTGTAAAAACCAACCATGGGATTGTAATTCTGACTAATATTCTGGCCAAGTCGATGGGGAACATCCACTGGCTCAGGAAGCGGACAGATCACAGCATCCCTTTATTTATCTGGCATCAAAGTTATGATTATGGCAGGTAAATACAAACAAGTAAAAATCTGCAATCCAGTATTACTATCAAACAGGCTTACATAATCAAATGTCACTAAATACGGATGTTTAAAGCACTAAGAAACAGACAGACACAAAAAAGGCAAATGAAAACAAACAAGCCAGTATATAACCGACATAAAAAAAAAAAAATGCAAACAATTCAGAGCACACCATACTTCACACAAGAGAGAGAGAGAGAGAAAAAAAAAAAAGGCGAAGAGGTAGCATTTCGAGTCAATAATTAAGCCTCGATTCACGTTAAACTAAATGGACGTCTGTTTTCTCCTTCTATTTTCTCTCTCTTCGACTTTTAAAAACACACTGAGGCTGAGGAATGAATAGGAGAAAAGGGGAGGAGGAGGAAAAAAGAGAGAAAGAATAATAATGACTCAGCGATGATGGAAGATACATACGTGTCTTTTGGGAAAAAAAAAATTCACCTTTAAAAAAAAAAAAAACCGTCTCTATTCCAGACTCCTCAATCAGCTTTCCCTCCTTACAAAGACCAACGTCCTCCACCCTAGGAATCCCCGAGGCGAGCAGGAGAGGCGGAAATCCCGCAGGAAAAGGCCCGTGAAACCCGAAGCCCGAAAGCG